TTTATTTTTCTTCCAGTTCACTTTAACCAAATCAAAATAGGTTTACTAATCTTAAAATAAATAAGTGGCAACATAGGGACCTCTAAATTAGCAACTTACTGCTGATAATATATTATTACTCTGTCAATGGAGGGTTGGCGTGCAGTGCTTACAGAAGGAAGAAGCCCTATTAATATCTATATACATATATACATGTATACATATACTACAGCAGTGGAGCTCCTGCTAATATGCAGTAGTAGCACGCACAAAAGGTCAGTATAATGATTCAAGTGGGGTGCTGCCCAGACGTTTAAATCAGGAGGCTACTAGGCAATATTGTTACTGATTTCCTTAAGCAAAAACTGTTCTTCAAAAATTTAAGTCTCAAAAATGATTTTCTATCAGCCTATTACTTAATTTTACATAATCTTGTTATATACTACAGTGCAATAAGTGGGAACATCAAATCTTTGGAGAAAGTGTTAGGTGAATAATCATTTAGATAGTCATGGGGCCAATCACTATAAAAAAAACTACAGTCAGACGTCAAGCTTATTAATTGCCTAGCAATCTCAGAGTAAAGATCGATATGTCACATTAACCAACTAGTAGTATTTTTCGTGGCAATGTAAAATATTTAAACGTTTACCTATAGATAATAAAAAAAAATTGTCTAAAAAATTAAAGGATACAAAGTGTAACAGATAATTCTTCATGAAGAATATTGTATCTTACTGTTAGCATTACAGATCACAAAAAGCGCACCTACAGTTAAAGTGAGCATGGAAGTACTCTATAAACGGGGATGCAAGTTTCTATTACTATATACACCCTCTCATATATTCTATTAAATGCTGTGATTAATGTGACTAGCTTAATTAAGTCTTTACGCACTCTTATAGATTGAAAAATTGGTAAGTATCTGATTATATTATAATCATTCTATAACTTGTTTTTTCGTTCAGTAAATTTATGTCGAGAAAACGTACAACGATCAGTCAATTAAGCAATAAAAAAATAGCTAAAAGTACTTTGAGAGAAAAATCTCTTGGACGTAAATTCTCCTTGTTCGAAATCTAAGAGATTATCTACACTACTACTTTAATCGATCAGTTTTGAATCGATAACTCTCTCGGTTCTTTTAGATGTTCGATTCTTTTATATGCATATATTTGAACTACGGTTAAAAGTGCCTACCAAAATTTATTCATTTATAACTCTTTTAAAAATAAGCCTTTTTACATTAACTAAAAAATGCATGATATACGTGTCATAGGAACATAATTATTGTAATGCTATCATAATTATCGTAAGAGTCGATTTTTTTGTTTTGCGCATACCAAGTTCATCAAATATACAGAAGGGATAGGACACAAGCTCAAACTCGTTTAGTGCCAACAAATGTATGAAATACGATTAAAAAATACTGTATCATAACTTGCAACAATCGCATCGTCTACGCTAACAGAAGAAGTAAGGCATCTTTCATCTCCAATCGCTCCGGAGTATAAAGATTACAGTAAAGAAGAAGAAGATTTATTAACATCAGACTCTATTAAAATAAGCGTATCTCCTGTATTTAAGCGAATAAAACATTTAAAAATATTGTAATACAGGTATTTTGTAATAAACTATAAAATATAATCTCTTTGTGTTTTTCCTAATAAAATATGATTTTTTTAAATATGTTATTTAATTATTCGTTAGAATGACAACAATAATATTGCTATTACACGTTAAAAATAAACTTATTAATTAATCTAGAAAAGCTTCCTTTTGAAAGAATTATAAATAAATGAATTTCGGTAGGCACAAATAACTGACATGTATCTACAGATTATTGCATTTAATTTTTATTTTCGTTAACAAAAATGGACAACGTGTACGAATGAGCTTTAATGAAATTAACGATGCAATGAAAACCACAATAATTCATTAAAAACAGTAGCGAAAATATAATGGAAAAGTATGGGTTAGGTGTATAAACAAAAAAAACTTTGTTCCACGAACTAATGCCACATTTTTTTTTATCCAGCCGAGCTATCCTACATTGGTTAGTCATAACTTTTTGTGCAACAACGGAAACCCGAGATATCGATATTTTTTCAAGCACGAACGATATGAAACGCTTGTGTTCAGTTCTAGAGACACCTGATACCAGCTATTCCTACTTTGCTGACAATATCAATTATGATGTTAACATTATTTGAGCAACTATATGTGGCACTGAGACGTGAATTAAATTTTACCAAAAGAATAACTGTTCAGTTGTAATCCCTATAAATTTGAGCCTCTTTGGTTGTAAAATACAGCGTCAAGAATTCTTATAAAAAGATTATTTCTGCTTTCATTGGTCATAGGGCAATTGTTTTTTATTCTCAATTGAGATAAAACCTTTAATCAGATTTATACTTAAGATTAGCCAATTATTCGTTAATTTCATACGTTATCCATGTCACTTGTATTCAGCTATTTCAAAATAATTTTTTTCATACAATCGCAATCAGTGCTAATATGAGTAAGGTGCAATAACAGTTTTTAAGGAAATTTTTTTTTTAGAATTTAAAGCGTGATGTTATTGGAAGAATCTTGATTCTATTTTCTTGAGATACCCTATTGGATTATTAGGATACAATGTAGCTCTTTCTATGTTAAATCTTTGATATGAAACCAAAAGAATAAATTTGTTGGTGTAGTTAAAATAAGGAGATACTTCTTTTCATTCCTATACTGAGTATACTGTTACGTCGATGCAACGCACTATTGGGATCTAAGATTGCACTGAATAACCCGGGATGCACACAGGGCGAACAGGTAGGACGTGTTGCTAAGAAATCATCAAAAGTATGCAGCAAGGCCTTCGAACTAAAAGTTGTAGTCAGCTTCTTCGACTCCAGCGAAGGGGCACAAATACGTTTGAGAAAGGGATCAAGTTTTTAAACGTTCAGAGTGACTGCTGTGCTGACCGACGGCGCACACTCAACAATTATGTTTACACATTTACGATGCACCTACAGTTTATCACTACAACCTGGAACGGCAGTATACACTATAGTAGAAAATAGAGGGTGTTCTGTTTCGCAATATAGAGACTACCTCTACCGTCACGAGTAATGGTGCATGCCCTAGAGGTTTTATTCACATTCGAAAGAAAAAAGCTAGAAAGTTAATTATGCTTCAACACGCTTACTTTTGTTCTGAATTTTAAGATTGTACACGCGAAGAACAAGCATGAGGTGTTCGAGGTAGACTTCTGTCCAAAGCCAAAATTGAATCACACTTGTGAAGGACCGTATCTTAGCAGAGACAGACTTTAATTACTAAATCAATCGTTTCAGGAAAAATTATGAACTCACTCGTGGAGAAGTGTGAGGTAGTAGAGGCAGATCTTAACTACCTAGTCGACCGTTCGAGAAATGACTCTTAACTGTCTTTTTCTTTGGGATCTTTAGGCTCTTCTCTTAGGAGAAGCAGACCTTGGTCATGCGCTGGCTCGAAGATGATACATAAAAGCTTGCTGGGGGAAGTGTTGAGAAAAAACAATAGCCGACATGTAATTGGCTAGAGCTTCTCTAGTTTAGCCACTCAGAAATTGGCACTTCTTACATCCGGCTAGCCCCTCTACATGCTTCAAGTTTCAGTGGCCGTTACTATGATATTTATAGTAATAATAGTAGGTACAGTAATAATAATAATAATAATAATGATGATAACAATAACAATAATAAGAATAATATTAATAATAACCGTAATAATAGTAGGTATTGTAGTAAAAGTAATAATGATATGAAAATAATAATATGATTGTGCCTGTCGCGAGTTATTATAATTAGATTAAAGGATAGTTTTGATTGATTATTTTATTGCAAAAATCATTTGGATGGTTTCGTAGATATATATCAACTTATTTTTCACTGTCAGTCATCACAGAGAAAGTCAATTCATCGTGCCCTAATGATTCAGAAATTTCGTTATCTATGTTAGAGGTAACAATACAGACTCTCTTTCGACGACGCGACGCTAAGTTAGGAAGAAGGGAAAGGGCAATAGCTGGCTTTTCCGTTTTCCTTTATACATTAAAAAAGTCGTAAAATTAATGAGTTTGTAAAATTAGGCTATTGCAGATAGTTTTCGAAATAAGGAAACCACTAAATAGAGTAGATCGGAAAATCATGCATCTGCAAAAATGGATGATTAAAATCGGATTAATGGTCAACAATATTGCTTTGCTTAATTTACCGTAGTAAATACCTTCATACATATCCAGCTGTTGCCCACTGTAGGTCTAATCAATGTAGTATGCAGGTGTTTGCTTTTGCAACTTAACTATAATTTTATTTTATATTAGTCTAAATGTTTTAATCCTCAATCATTCTAGCGTTTAATCTTATTTTTTAGTGTAGCTGTTCCCAGCTAAACTTTCGCATTTATTGGTTTCTTAAGTTCATTTTACTATTTGTATATAAGAAAAAAGTAGTTTTTTATTTCTAGTCAGCATAGGCAAGCGTGCATCAGCATGAGTCATGTTTGATCTTAGTACAGCAGCTGTGAGTGAACTTGCAAGTGATTTACTTATTTCCAGATGCACGTTGGTCTTTGCTTTAAATGCTTTCTGAATCAGCGTGGGAAAATCTAAAGGTATGGAAAGAAAAAAATTATTAGTAGGTGTATCAACAAAAATTAAGTTTTTGTAAAGAATTATATAGATCAGTCTTTAAACAAATGGTTGTCAGCCTATAACCATAAACAGTAATGTGGGAGGTAAGATGTAAGAGTACTTTTCAATATTTTTTAGACGTGTATTTTCATTAACACTAACATTTGTTAAAACAAAAATTAAGATAGCCAAAACAGTTTTCAGATTGTTTGGACTTCAAAAAGTTGGGAAAAGTTCTAAGACTTCAGTTTCAGAAATTTTACTCCATACATTATTAAATTTAATTTTTGTGAAATAATCGATGAGAAATATTAAGTACTCAAAAATCACATTTTCCATTATGAATGCACACTTAACTCACCAATAACATGCGCATATTTCACATCATAGTAAAGTAAAATATTCTCGGTTTCATTACCGAAATGATTCACAAATGTTTTGCAAAACTCATCGATGCAAATTTCTTGTTTTGGAAAGATGTAGAAAGTAGGTAAATCATTATTACAGCTAAAACAAGCATTTCCAATATGTATATAGGCATCAAGTTTCAAATGGTCTATACTCAAGACATCATTGCAACAGTTTTGATGAACAGTATTTCCAACTGTAAAAATTAGAGCGCTTGAATTTTTCTTCAACTTAGATACAATTTTCACAGAATCTTTTAGGAAATCATCAGATATCTGAAGTAAAACCTGAAAAAATTGATAATATTAATTTCTCTAAATTTTATGACTTAAAATACAGTTTCAAAAGTATGTTTTGTAGTACCGTTTGTTTGTTAAGCTGTATGTGTTAAAATATTGCTACACAACCTTCCAACAGCAATTTTTGAATCATCGATTTATTACCACAAATGCCAATTAATTACCAAATTAGATCTTACAAACTGACTACTTGCAATATTTCATGTAGAATACCCATTAGTTAATGGTAATTAAAACGCAGTTGGATTAAAAAATAAGAAAATCGTTTTTGTTCGTAAAATTTTTTCGATCAACGTAAGCTTGTTTGTGAAAGCATACCCACTACGTGTATGTTGATGTGTTACGACGTTTTTTTTCATTGAAGTATGTTGTAGCAATAAATTGATCCATAGAAATGGGATTCTGCTTGAGAAAAGAGAATGAGTATATTATAAGAGCCACAAATCTAAAATTTGCTCTAAAGAGCCATGTTCCAGGAAATTATATGGATGTGTTCGCGTGCGTGCGTGTGTATGTCTGCACGTGCCTGCGTTCGCGCGCGCGCGCGCACGTGTGTGTGTGTGTGTGCGCATACTTGTGTATGTATGACAGTTTTCATGATGATATTAAGTACGCACTTTGCTCAAATATTCTTCCCATTTCCCGAAAATCAATGAGCGATTAGGGAGAACATAAGACAGAAAATAGGCACTCGTTACTTCTGCTAAGCGATAGATCAAGAAGGGCCTAAGAAATCCAACCCTAGTATTTAAGACCTATTTGCTTTAAGCGCAATTCCGAAATTGCGCCCCCACTGGAGACTTTGAGAACGATTGGTCGTCATTTCAAAGTGTAATTATTATGAAATCGAGCTTCCGGCTCCATTCACCAGGTGGCCAACCCTTAAATGTCGCTTTTCTACAAGCATATGGAAATTAATTCATAGTACTGTCATTTTCTAATCACAACTAACCGTTCTCAAAGTGCCCAGTGGGGGCGCAACTTCGGAATTGCGCTCCAAGCGAATAACCTTTATGTTTAGTTAAAGCAGCAAAATAAGAAATCAGTTCTCATCAAATGCTCTTTCTGTCACCCGCTGACCGCTGCAATTAAGGAATAGACACATCGTATTTACTAACTTGTAAAATAACAAACGACTGAGGTTTTGATTTCAGTACCTAACTGATTTATGTAAGAAATACGTACAATACAATAACACGTAGTTGAAAAATTTTAAAATCGATTGTCTAATGAAAAGTAAACGAAATTTAAGGATATACAGACACAACTCATTATAGAACATCACACAGTGCAGTTAGGATACATACACACATATATCCTCCACATACATACACATATAATATATGCTCCACCTCCCTACGACCTTCGCGCACAAACCCTCCACTTCTCTAACATAACAAGAATAGAATACGACATACATCTCTCTTTATCGGCATACATATCTGTGGGGCAGCACGGGGCAGGACGGCTTTTGTCTTATTTTTTTTCTATACATGTAGAAACAAGAAGAATTTTACGTAATTTTTTGTGATGGGCTTGTAAGGCAGTGCAAGGAAGCACGGGGCGGCAAGAAGCATTGCGGGGCAAATAGTAGGCGTGGACCTAAAAATGACTGTGTAATAAATAAAGATATATATACTTACATTTGTAAGGAAAAAACTAATTTGACCCTCTCACTTCGTTTCACAGCTCCTTTTGACCCCCTTCATAAAAATAGTTGAGTCTTTCTCGCCCTCCACATTAAATATATAAGTTTATTTCGTTGATCTTCTGGGGCAAATGAAAACAATTAGTTTAAGCAACGTTTCGTCCACTGGTGTGTCGACCTCTTCAGGCTTTATTAACAATAATAAATTATTACAATGACTAATATAAACAACAGATACATATAATGTGGAACTGACAAATAAATTACCTTAATTTAAACCGTGAAAGACAATTTATTTAACGTATCGAGCAAATGGCTCGCACGCAAGTCAAACTGACAAAGGCCTCAACACCGCAATGTACCCCGCTTTTATAACAAACGCGCACACACACAAACATATACAGGTTTCGCAGTGCGATGACCCGAGCCGTCAGTACACACATGATATTATCAGTAAACAATTCTAAGAACGTACATAGTCTTTAACAACGGACAGAATTATAGAAACTTCGATAAGTGCGACTTAAATTATAAACATCTTCTTTTTTATTTATATTATGAATGTTGGAGGTAATGTGTAATATTTCAGAGATCAAACATTCACCATAATTCGGCTCTTTGGCTAATATTTTTACATTGTCCCACTCAAAATTATGGTTATTAAAAATTTGGTGTAAAGTAACTACCGATTCCAGTTTGTAGTTGTTTTGGTGTTCTCGTTTTCTCTTTTTTAAAGCTCTCTTCGTTTCACCTGTAAATTTTGCTGAACAGTCACTGCATGAGATTTCATATACGACATTAGTATTATCTAAAGTATCAGTAGTATCTTTTCCCAACTGTACAATATGATTCAATTTTTTGTTTATTTTCGGAATTACTTGTATATTGAATTTTTTTTAAGAAACGTTGTATCTTATCAAAATTATTTGGAAAAAAGCGGACTTAGTTCTTAAAGACTGTGTAAATGAATGTTGGAATATTTTTAAAAATAAACATAGTATTGAGTCGCTCTTTTATTTTCATACGTTGACGACTCAATCACTTGTATAAAAGAAAAGCATATTGACCTTGTTACTAAAATCTTTAATAGTTATAACAAAAATTTAATATTTACGTATGAGATTGAAAAAGAAAACCAAACTAATTTCTTAGATGTGACTTTAATAAAGCGATGCAACAAAATTATCACAAGTGGTACCAAAAAGAATCATCTACAAATAGACTCTTACATTTTGAATCTAATCATACTGGGCAACAAAAAAAGGATACAATTTATAATTTAATAGACAGGGCCATAAGACTCTCTGACAGTTCATTTCATAATGAAAACGTGAAAATTGTAAGACAGATGCTGCTTGAAAATGGCTGTCCTAAACATTTTATTAATAAACATATTAAGAAAAGACTTGGTACGATCAATAATGATGTTACAGAGAAAATTGCAGAGCAATTACCTTTAAATACAACCATTATAAGCTTACCATTTTTTCCAAATAATTTTAATAAGATACAACGTTTCTTAAAAAAATTCGATAGACAAGTAATTCCGAGAATAAACAAAAAATTAAATCATATTGTATAGTTGGGAAAAGATACTACTGATACTTTGGATAATACTAATGTCGTATATGAAATCTCATGCAGTGACTGTTCAGCAAAATATACAGGTGAAACGAAGAGAGCTTTAAAAAAGAGAAAGCGAGAACACCAAAACAACTACAAACTGGAATNTGGGAAAAGATACTACTGATACTTTGGATAATACTAATGTCGTATATGAAATCTCATGCAGTGACTGTTCAGCAAAATATACAGGTGAAACGAAGAGAGCTTTAAAAAAGAGAAAGCGAGAACACCAAAACAACTACAAACTGGAATCGGTAGTTACTTTACACCAAATTTCTGATAACCATAATTTTGAGTGGGACAATATTAAAATATTAGACAAAGAGCCGAATTATGGTAAACGTTTGATCTCTGAAATGTTACACATTACCTCCAACATTTATAATATAAATAAGAAAGAAGATGTTCATAATTTAAGTCATACTTATCGAAGTTTCTTTAATTCTGTCCATTCTTAAAGACTATGTACGTTCTTAGAATTGCATACTGATAATGTGATATGTGAACTGAGGGCTCGGGTCATCGCACTGCGAAACCTGTTCATGTTTGTGTGTGTGTGTGTGTGTTTGTTATAAAAGCAGGGTACATTGCGGTGTTGGGGCTTTTGCCAGTTTCACTTGCGTGTGAGCCATTTGCTTGATACGTTAAATAAATTGTCTTTCACGGTTTAAATTAAGGTAATTTATTTGTCAGTTCTACATTATATATATATATATATATTTATCTGTTGTTTATATTAGTCATTGCAATAATTTATTATTGTTAATAAAGCCTGAAGAGGTCGACACACCAGTCGACGAAACGTTGCTTAAACTAATTGTTTTCATTTGCCCCAGAAGATCAACGGAATAAACTTACACCCTCAATTAAAAGGTGGATTTGCTGTAGTCTTACGTGAGTTTCCCTTTAACTCTTTTACCAATCACTTTAAAAATTTACATATTTTCTTTGTATATTTTACGTGAAAAAACATTTTTCTGAAATTCGAGTGCTTCCCTCCGATCCACCTCACCACCGTACTTTAAGGACTAGGAAATTTTTTAGATTTCGATCAGCCCTCACTGAAAACTTATACTTTTTTGCATTTAACCTAGTACCCTTTACCACCTCCTTAAGAATTTAAAAATTTTCCACGTTTCAATTAGTCCCCTTCATAAACTTATATTTCTTTTACGTTTTACTAACTCACCCTACAAGATTTGGATCAATTTTATCCTTTTATTTACTTTTTAAAAAAACTTAAAGCATTTTTTAAATATTATTGCACCACTTATATTCAAAACACGTAGTTGAAAAATTTTAAAATCGATTGTCTAATGAAAAGTAAACGAAATTTAAGGATATACAGAATAATAACCGTAATAATAGTAGGTATTGTAGTAAAAGTAATAATGATATGAAAATAATAATATGATTGTGCCTGTCGCGAGTTATTATAATTAGATTAAAGGATAGTTTTGATTGATTATTTTATTGCAAAAATCATTTGGATGGTTNCATATTGCAGGGATTTATAGATCTTTGAACACTTAATTTAAATTCAGATAAAAACTACTTTAAGATGTTTTTCTTCACAGAATTAGCAACCCGAGCGATTTCAAACCTCCTTTTATTTACTTTTTAAAAAAACTTAAAGCATTTTTTAAATATTATTGCACCACTTATATTCAAATAAGTTTTTCTAAATTTTTTAATTATTATTTTATTATTATTG